AATGACATTAACAGATTTTTTCAATTACATAAGATATAAAACAACAGGAGTATTATTTGATTATTTAGAAAATACTCAAATCCGACTTAATCTCGAAGCTAGTGGTTCAGAAACAAGAGCAGAATATAAAATAGCAGCTTTAAGAGAATTAGCAAAAAATTTATTAAGAGAATTTTTAGGAATTACCGGGCAAGAATCAAAAGAAACACAAAAGGATAAGGTAGTTAGATTTCTAACTAATATGAAGTTATGTAATATATGTTATATCGAAAATTTCTTCTGTCAAGTAAGAGAAAATTTTTATAAAATTAAGGATCGATCAGGATTAATAGAAATTGTTGAAAGTAAACTTAAATATGAAATTAATAAATATATTCAGAAGAAATTTAATAAAACAAGAGAAGAAAAAACTCTAGGAGTTTTAGAAAAATATGCGAAAGAATATAGAGATGAACTTTGTATAAGAAAAATAGAACATCATAAAATGACTAAAGTTGATTCAAGATGTTGTAAACAATTAGAGAGTGTGCCACAAGAGTTTGGTTGTCATGAACCATATAGAAAGAAAAAATATTATAAATACAATAAGTTTAACAGACGATATAGGCCAAGAAGATATAAAAATATTAAAAATTTTATTTTGAAATCAAGTAACTCTAAGTTTTAGTTAAGACTAAATTTGTGCAACTAATATTAAAAATTTAAAATTTAAACAAAACATGACATAGTTTTTTCCTAAAAAACAAATATTCTTAACCTTTCATACAGTTTTAAATAATATTTATATTAAAGGAAAAATCCAATTGTAGATCAAGTATTACTAAGCAAGAAATTTAAGTGAAACTTAATTGTTATTACTATATTTTATTTGCATTTTAAAAATTTTCAAATTATATAGGATCAAAGTTGACATAAAATACATTATGTTATAGTTCAGCACTTAATTTCGATTCTTCGGTTCGGTACGGTATCAGACGATTTGGTTCGATTATCGGTACAGATATTTGTGAAATCTCCAGAACTAACAATTATTTTTCGGTTCGGTTTGCTTCAGTTCGGAGAAAGTCACATGATCAACGGTTATTTTTCGGCTCGGAGTGATTTTGGGTCGGTTTTTTAGACGGTTCGGAGTTTTCCTAGTCCCATGCTCAGCCTAGTGATATGACATATAGAGTAGCTCGAACGAACCGGTCTCAGTTAGCTCAGGTGAATGAACTCTTCATATAGCTTTGCGATATAAACAGCTCGAGTGGACCGGTCGTTTATACAGGTTGGATATATGGTCGTTAACGATAGCAGTTCAGATATGAGCGCTGACCTCTCGGTTTTGAAAGGTAAAATAATTTTCAAAATCTCAATCTCAATAGTTATGCATTTAAAAAAAAATATATAATGATATATATTATTTGTTAATAGTACACAATTCAAAAAATTGTGTACTATAAATTGTATGTTGATATCAAAATCATTTTATAATTGTAACCGGCTTTGTTAAATCTCCACGACGGTAAAACAAAATGAGACGATCAACTTTGTTTGGAAATAAAATAAAGGGTAAAAAACTTTTTTCCATCCGAACTATGACGATTTTCGCGCATTACCATATGAACTTTCTTTTTTAACAAACCACCACCCGAACTATACGGGTTTGTCAAATTGCCCTCTACACCAGATATAAATGTTGTTTTGACTAAAAAAAGCTGTTTTATAAGGACATTTAGGAAATTTCATATATTTTTTCGAAAAAAAAAAAAGAAAAATGAA